TTCAAAAAACTTAGCTACTGTTATTTTAAGGCAAGATTTTGAAATAGTGCAGTCTACTAAATTGTGCCATCCCCAAGACTCTGGATACTTTGTAACTTTGAAATTTTGGAGCTGTACAATAGGGGAATAATATTTCACAATAAAAGAATGGGTATAATATCTTGCTGTCCTCCATTAACGCCAAAGTCATGTTAACCAATCCAGTTGACTGGGTTGTGTTTTTCTCTCCCAAAAGAGAGACTGTGGTTGATTTCTACACTAACTGCATATGTGACTGCAGCACCTAACCTTGCACCCTAGCATGAGCAGAGACAATGAGCAGGAGGACTTGAGCAGGCCATAACCACACAGCCAAATTCCTTGACATTCCCCCTCACACACCTCGCTTGCCTCTGTAGTAGGAGACCCTTGGAGAACCTTCTTCAGAGAGTGTCCTAGGAGCCCTTCTGTTCACTCATCATGAGACATTCCTTCCTTCATTTAGAATTACATAAGGTCTACAATATTCCAATTTCAAAAAATATTAACAGGTATATAATCAAGACTATACATAAAAGGTGAAGACATTCTGTGAAATTTAAAAATCATGTTTTCTGGTATGTGCTCATTGCTTAGTGATATTTTCACTGGAGAATGGAGGAATGCCATTTCTCAGTGCCCCATAGGAAGACGGGAAAGTAGCCAGAGGTTTTCATCGCTGCCAATCATCTCAGGTATGAAAGAGAAGTGAGGAAAGATACTCCTATCTTATGTCACTGGGGAAATGAAAATTAAAATTGTAATGAAATGCCACCACATACCTAGTAGAATTCCAAAATCTAACATAGTGACCCACCAAATCCTGGCCAGGATGTGGAACGATACAGATACTCATTCACAGCTTGTTGGAATGCAAATGGCACAGTCACTTTGCAAGGCAACCTGTCAGCTCTGTACCAACAAAAAACACACATATATCATAGGATCCACAACTACACTGCTTGGCCTTGTCCAAAGGAGTTGAAAACTTGTCTTCACATACAAGCCCCTAACAGGCATTTGTAGAAACTTTAGGAAGAATTTCCCAAACTTGGAAGCCACAAAGATACTCTTCAGTTGGTGTATAGATAAACTGTGCTAAGTCTGGATAACTGGGTATTATTTGCTGTGGAATAGGAGTTATCAAGTCATGAAAAGACGCAGAAGGATGCCAAATGCACATTACAAAGTGAAGAGGCCAATCTGAAATGTCTACATACTTTGATTTTATTCTATGACATCTTCTGGGAAAATTTATATCAAGATGCCAGGTCGTGGGGGAAAGGAAAGAAGGAATTGACAGAGCACAGAACATTTCCAGAGCAGTGAAACAGCTCTGTACAATACTACAATGTCAAACACACAGCATCAGCTATTTATAGAGACACTCAGTAGGTGCATCGGATGTATATGATATACCTAAGGCAAAAAGGCCTTTGGGGAGATAGAAGGTCATGGATTCTAACAGATGTATCACTCTGGGTCAGAAATACTATCCTGTGTAGAGGCTTGGGTACACAAGAGCTCTGTAATATCTGCTCAGTTTTTTTTTTTTTTTTTTTTTTTTTTTTTTTTTTGCAAACATGGAACTATAAGAAAACAGCCGAGAAAAGAGGGAAGGAGGGAGGGAGGAAGGGAAGAAAGAGAAAAAGAAAAGGGTGGGGGAGAAGAGTGAATTTTCTTCTTGTTGCAATTAATCAGTGACAACGTTCTAGCCACAGAACTTAACCAATCTTCATCTCCTTTTCACTCTCTTAAGGAGAGGCCATCACTGTTCACACTTTTTGGAAAAGGGACTAATGAGAGAAAGGAATGGAAAAAGGGAAGGATGGGGAGAGATGGGAGGAAGAAAGGAAGGGAGGAAAAAACGGAAGTATATGTGTCGGTTACTTGTATATTGCAGTCAAAATACCTGGTAGAAATAGCTTAAAATGAAGAAAACTATGTTTAGCTCACAGTTTCAAAGGTCTCAGTCCTTAACACGCTGACTCGTATGCTATGGTGAAACCAAGGATCGTGATGGAGAAGGTGTAGCACAGGGCATGGGTGGAATACAGATTCTCACCTCTTGGCAGCAGGGAAGCAGAGAGATGGACAGAGAAGCAAGGACCAAGCATATATCCCCAGTGATAGACCTCCTTTCAATTAGGCCCATCCACAACCATCTACCACCCCCAATAATGTCATCAAATTATGAGTTGACCTACCGATTAGATCAGAGACCTGTTAACCAGTTCACTTCCCCAAAGTAGCCAGCCCCTGAACACAGAACCTTTCCGTTTCCTTTCCTGCCCTTAACAGTATAGAAGGAGCTTATCAACAGACTGTTGATAACAGGACCATGATAACTGTTAGTGTTTGTTTGCTGTCGGTGCTCAACATGCAGTAGTTTCAAAGACCACACACTAAGGCCTGCGGACATAGCTCAGCCAATAAAGTTCCTATTTTGAAAGCCAGAGGACCAGAGTTTAACCCCCAGCACCCAGGTATAAAAATCTAGCTTGGCAGCACACACTTATAATCCCAGAAGTGAGTGAGCAGGGACGGGTGGATCCCGGAGGCTCGCTGCCCAGCCAGCCCACTCTACATGGCAAGCTCCAGGAGAGTGAAAGTCCTATCTCAAAAAATAGATAGTGCCTGAGGAATGACAGCTAAGGTTATCCACTTATATACGTGTGTGTGTGTGTGTGTACTCCTGCAGGCACACACACACGTGTGCGTGCACACACAAACACCCTTGAACACATATGTGCTCACACATATACACATATATCCTCCCCCCCCCTCATGATTTTTCTCACAGTTCCTGTGTTGTGTCTCAGCTCCCCTTGTATGGGCTCACACCTGATTAACTCAGACACACCCAAGGCAACCCTTCCTATTAACTCAAAGCTCACCTGATTAGACACCTTAATAGCAAACCCATCCTTCTTTGCCATGTAATGTAGCATAACCACAGGAGGGACAAACCCAGATTTTATTGGCCAAAAACAAATCACAGTTTCTGCAAACATTCTCGGAGAAGGAATTACACAAAGCTGTGATTCACTGAGGGCCACCTTATGGCGTGCCCAGGTTTTCCTAACTGGAAAAAAAAAAAAACAAAACGGAGTAGTTGGTAAGGATCTTTAGCTCTGTCTGTTCCTTGCCTTACTGAGGCCTTCCCTCGCCGAGTTATAAAAAGAACAGGAAATGATTTCCAGGTCTGCCTGGGGGAGAAGTCTCTCCTTATCTTTGTGTTTCCCTCACACAAAGAAGAAGGAGAGTCTGGGTAAATGCTGTGGCTGAGTTTTGGCTGCCACTGACACAACCCCCCCCCCACACACACACACACAAAAGGTGGCAACATGTCAGTTACATGGACAAAATGAGGTTTTGAAACTGAGTCGTGGTCTCTTATTTCTCCTTTCAGGCATGTACCCCCTTGTGGTGATCAGTCTTTTATTTATTTATTTATTTATTTATTTATTTAATTTATTCACTTTACATCCCAGTCATAGCTCCCACCCTCTTTTCCTCCCAGTCCCACCCTCCCTCCCTGTTCCCCCTAGCTCCCTTTCCCTTCTCCTTAGAGAAGAAGACCCCCACCCCCAACCCCTCATATCAAGTCACTTCAGTACTGAGCGCATCCTCTTCCCCTGTGGCCTGGTGAGGTAGCTGCACCAGGGAAAGTGACCAAAGAGCAGACGACAGAGTCCATGTCAGAGTTGGACCCCACTTTCCTTACTAGGGGACCTATATGAGGACCAAGCTGCCCACTGGCTACATCTGTGTAGGGGCCTGGGTCCAGTCCATGCACGGTCCTTGGCGCTTCAGTCTCCACAGCCCCCACTCCCTCCCCTGGGCCTCAGTTAGTTGGCTCTGTTGGTCTTCTTGTGGAGCTCCTGTCCCCTCTGAGTCCTTCTATCCTTCCCCCAACTCTTCCACGAGACTCCGTGTGCTCCGCCCAATGTTTGACTGTGGGTCTCAGCATCTGTTTCCATCAGCTGTTGGGTGGAGCCACTTAGAAGACAGCTATGCTAGGCTCCCATCTGCAAGCATAGCAGAGTATCGTTAATAGTGTCAAGGGTTGGCTGTCTCCCATGGGGTGGTTCTCAGAGAAGGCCAGGCATTGGCTGGACATTCCCTCAATCCCTGCTTTACTTTTGTCCCTGCACATCTTATAAGCAGGGTAAATTATGAGTCAATGTTTTTGTGGTTTGGTTGGTGTTCCCCTCCCTCTACTACGAGTCTTGTCTGGTTAGAGAGTGTCCTCTTCAGTCTTTATGACCCCTGCTACTAGGAGTCTTAGCTAGAGTCACCCTCATATCATCCAAGAGCCTCCCTGTTGTAGGTCTCCAGCTGTCACAGAGATGCCCCCACCCAAAGTTTCTCTTCTCCACAGGCCCTCTGTCCTCCCACACCCATCACTGCTCTCCTCAAGTCTGAAATCGACTCTCATTATTCTCTGTGCTCCCTCTCTTACCATGTTGCCTCTCTTCAGCCACTTCTGCTGTCTATTCTATTTCCCCTTCTGGGTGAGATCCAAGTATCCTCCTTTGTGTCCTCCTTGTTACTTATCTTCTTTGGGTCTGTATGGTTATCCTATTCTATACTGCTAATATCGGCTTGTAAGTGAATACATACCATGTGTGTCTTTTTAGGTCTGGGTTACCTCACTCAGGATGATATGTTCTAGTTCCATCCATTTGCCTGCAAATTCTGTGATGTCCTTGTTTTTAATAGCTGAGTAATATTCCACTGTGTAAATGTACCACAGTTTCTTTATCTATTCTTCAGTTGAGGGACATCCAGGTTGTTTCCAGTTTCTGGCTATTACAAATAAAGCTTCTCTCAACATAGTAGAGCAAATGCCCTTGTTGTATGGTGGAGCATCTTTTGGGTATATGGCCAGGAATGGTATAGCTGGATCTTGAGGTAGAGCTATTCTAAATTTTCTGAGATAGATTTTCAGATTGATTTTCAGAGTGGTTGTACAAGTTTGCACTCCGACCAGCAGTGGAGAAGTGTTCCCCTTTTTCCACATCCTCACCAGCATGTGCTGTCACTTGTGTGCTTGATCTTAGCCATCCTGACGATGCTCAGTCTTGGTTGTCAACTTCACAGGATTTAGAATGGCCACAGAGGCAGACTCCTGGGCGTCCTGTCTTTGAGGGATTTTCTACATTGTGTTACCTGGAGTGCGAGGATGTTCACTAAGTGTGAATGATACCATTCCATGGGCTGGGGGTCCTGGACTGAATAGAAAGAACATGAGCTGAGAACCAGCCCCCCCCACCTCCATGCCTTCCTTCCTCTCCCTCCCTCTCTTTCCCTCTCCCTCTCCCCCTCCCCCTCATTCCCGACTGTGGATACACTGTGACCAGCTGGAATTGTTTGCCTCCTACCCAGCAGCATCGTACATAGAGCATCAGAACAGGGGAGGCTGCTGGAACATTGAGCGCAGGGAAAAGAAAGGGGGTACACGAAGCCTGGTTAGGTATTTTGTATTACTGTAAGCCTATGTGTGGAAGCCCCTAAGAGGAGTCCCCACTACACAAGCTCAACTAGAGGAAAGGAGCTGGAGCTGAAAGGTGCTATTGCAACTACTTTACTAAATATAGCTTTCTGACTAATGAGTATACTCAAAACCTAAGCCAGGTAAGGTAGTGCAAGCCACTGATACCAACTACTCAGGAGGCTGAGGCAGGAAGAATGCAAGTTTGAGACCAGCCTGGCAGACTTAGCCCGCTCATCTCAAAATTTAAGTCTTTAAAAAAAAAAAAATATGGAATCTAGCTCAGAGGCAGAATATAAGGGCCTTGAGTTCACGCCTCAGAACAACAACAACAACAAAAATAATTTGGGAAATTTAATTTGAAAACATACTCACCCCAGCCTCACCCCAGCCCCACGCCAGATCTTGGGAAGCAGGACTCTGCCTCATTAGGATGCTCAAGAGACCTCAGAGTAGTGCCCATTGCATACCTGCATTTGGGAATGGCTGTACCAAATGCTGTCTGTCTTGTCATCAATGAACTAAACCTTGTCAACAACAGCCATAAGTTCAAGCCCTATTTGAAGAGTGTCCTGTTCTGCCAAAGTACAAAGGCACTGACATCCCTTGCCATCAGGAGAATGTCCTCAGCCGGGATGTGACCTCCAAGAAGACTGTCAGGGATTCTGTCTGTTTTACTGTTGAATGAATGAATAAATGATGAATGAATGAAGAGACTACAAACCTGCTCGCAGCCCTAACAACACACGAAATCGCCAAATGGAACAGGCCATCTGTCACGTCATCAACACTTTAAGGAATTTATTCCCTTCCCTTTCTTCTTGGCTCCATTACCATGCCTCAATGGGGAGAAGTCAGATTGTTCTGCCCTCCAAAGTAGCTGGGGCTGAGAGCCGTTTACCCTCTCCCTTCCACACTACCTGGCACTCTGCCACAGGCACCGCTGAGAAGCATAAACTGGACTCTGAAAATCCCTGCAGAAGCCACACTTTTACTGATGACTCTAAAAGAGCCCCCACAGGGAGCCCTCACACTGATACTCGAGAAATAAGATGTTCCCCACCCCCAATCCCATCTTCCTATTTCTCCTCCAGAAACCTTGACACTTCTTGACAACCTTAACCCTCCACTTTCACGCTGCCCCTTCACCAGCCCCATCCCCTTCCTGATCTTTCCACACACAGAGGGTAGTTTTTTGTTGTTCACTTACATTAAAGTTGCAGTGGTAGCAGCATGAAGCCAGCACTCTCCTCGGCTGATCTGGGGACACCAGGGCACTGTAAGAAAATAATGCACGCATAGGCTATAGAGGTGCCTGTGCATAGGAACTTTGTGGCTGAAAGACTTGGCACTGTAGTCCTTGAGATGGACTTCCTGGCATGGGCTGGCTCCTTCTGCCAACAAGATTCTCTTTTTACATCTACCTCCTTACCCTGCATGAGCTTCTGTCTGTCTATACCATGGCAAGTTTCTTCTTCCCAGTACATCACAGAACCTTGATGGAAAGAACTCTACTTTTCATGCCTTTGGGGTTCCTTCTGCAGCCAATCAGCATGTCTGTAGATTCGCTGTGGACAAATCACTGGTCCCTTCCAAAAGACTGTCTGGTAACTCTTCCATATTTATAAAATTTTCCCCCAGAAAGACTATCTCCAGGTAACAAAGAGGTGACCTCTGAATGCAGTCTCTGAACACGAAGGACAACCACATATGCAAACACATGATAGGATGCTAGGAATCGTCACCAAACACGGAATTGATGCTGGAGGACTCAGAATGTAGACTATAGGCAATGAGCATAGCTTCTGAGGGTTACCAGCCGGCTGCTTCTTTTGACACCGTACAAGGAATGGCTTTTGAAAGCTCAGCTTTGACAGATGACAATGCCAGGTCACTGACCACACCTACCTTCCCCTAATGTGAGAAGTGTGTCAGGCTCTAAGGCCAGGCTGTAGCCACTGGGCCAGACTTGTCCTGTTTCTGATGGACAGATCCCAGCTAGAGGGGATTATGCCCACAGAGCCCAGATTTAGGAAGCCTGCCTTTTCTTTCCAGCCACACAAAAGACCTGATAAAGAAACACTGGATGAAGAGGAAGAAAAAAAAAAGGAAGAAGAGGAGGAGAAAGAGTAAGAAGAGGAGAAGGAGAAAGAGGGAAAGGAGGAGAATGAGATGGAAAAGAAACTGTTACATTCAAGAAATAGGTCAGTGAGAACTGATGAATCTTTCTACACAAATCCTATCTGCACCTCACCCTGACGCAAAGCTGCTCCCCTGAGGAAGCCGGTTGTGTTGCTCACGACACACAGCATCCCAGCATCTGTCAGGCCAGTGAAAGCAGTGAGCAGCAAAACCCCTCGGCCCTCTGAGCCCTGTCAAGTGCAGTTCACATGGTGAAATCAGTGTTGTAAAGGAGACACAACGCTCGCTTTCGAGCAGCTCTCTAATGGGCAATTACCTCTTCTCTGCTTCCATTTCTCCCTTCTCTCTCACGCTAAGGAATAGCAGCCGATAGAGGACATACGGGAGACTGTAGTTTTATTTAGTCTGCCTCAGAAGTCACCTCTTATGCAGTTCTGAGGTGTGTATAATTACAGGTGCAGTTAATGTGCTTAAGAGCTTAGGGGAAGCAATTGCATATGAAAGATAACTTCCTAACAGACAGCTTTATTACAGCCAGGCTGGCAGCTCCGGGCTCGGGAATCGTGCACACCTCTGCCTGCACACTCTTCCATCCTCCCCTCCTAGCCGTACTCAGCTCTGGAAAGATGCTGTCGATTATGGAAATATTGGTCTGTGAGTTCAGCTAGCCCCACTTCCCAAGGGTCACATGTAGTAGAACAAGTTTTCAAGTCTCTTGGAGATGACCACGGTACAAAAGCCCAGCAAAAGGCCCCCCAAAAAGCCAAGAAAGAAGGTTTGAAAATGAATGTAAAAACTGACAGTGAGAAACCATGTGCTAGAATTTCAACACAGAAGCTCGCTTTTGTGGGGAGCAGAGACAATCCTTCTTGCTTCAGAACAATGTCACTTCTTCATGAGCTTCGACTGCCAACAACCAAAGAAGACATTTCCATACCAGAGCCACTGAAATACATGAGGGAAATACAGACACATGATGGACGGATGGATGGATGGATAGATAGATAGAGAGATATCGTTTAGGAGAATCCAACATGGAAGGATCCAGCCCATTGGAAGAGAAAGAATGATAAGGAAATGAAGGCATAGAGAAATTAGTAAAATAAGAAAAAAAAGCCTCTCAATTAACTAGCATTCAAGTCTACTCTCTCTCTTTCTCTCTCTCTCCCTCCCCTCTTCCCTCCCTCATTCTTTTCTCTTCCTCTTCCACCTCTGTGTCTCTGTGCCTCAGTGTCTCTTTTCTATATGTCTTCTTCCCTCCCTCCCTCTCTTTGTGTCTCAATGTCATGTTTCTATCTCTCTATATTTATGTCTTTTGCTTTGTGTCTCTGTCACTCAGTCTTTCTGTCTCTCTGTCCCTCCATCTCTATGTACAACACACACAGAAAGAGAGAATTGCCACAACTACATAACAAGGAGAAACAAACAAACAGACAAACAAAACAAAAAGTTAGTAAGAGCAGGTCCGGACAGACAGACACAGACAGAAGGTACACAGATGGAAGTCAACCTCAACAGTCTTTGGCCCTTTAAAGACTGAGCCACACTGGGCCTGGCTTGGCTTGAGGTCAGGGCAGGCGCATTTTTGTGAATGGAAGCACAATCAGTGATGTCATCTCTCGGTACTTACTACATGTCCTTGCTAGGGGGACCAAGAACACCCTGTCCCTGTCCGAACAGGTTGTTGTTAATGGTTTGGAAAAGCAACAGGCCAAACCCTGGACCAGATGGGGTAGTTTATAGCCTATGTTTTCCAGTGCTTTCTTAGCTTTCTAGCGTTCTGGAGCAGCACAAAGAGTCTATTCTGTGACGTCATTATCCTTCATTTAACTTGTTCTTCTCCTACCTAAGGCCACTGTCATGCTTTCTAACTGCTCCTGCCTTTCAATAACAGCTGCACCAACTTTTGGCACCTAAACATATTATTGTTGATTAAACATTATGGGGAGAGGGGCCTGAGTGACACTATATTATTTAACTCACGACTACAAGAAGAACCAATGAAGACTTTCTGATTTTCTATATACCTTATAGACTTCATCTTCAGCATCACCTCCTAATCCAAGATAACTGCTGGACCACCAACCGTCTCATCCACTTAGAACATCTAAAATGGCAGGCTCCCTGCTGAGCCGGCTATCCATAAGCAGTCTTCCTCTAGGTCTTATATACACTTCTGCTTATACGTGTCAGTCAAAACCCAGTCACAATGAACTGGGAGTATAGTCCAGCTGACAGAGTACTCTCCTTGAATGTACAACCTGAGTTCCATCCCTAATCCTGCACAAACCAAATGGTAACACACACCCAAAGACCCAGCACTGGGAGGTGGAGGCAGGAGGATGAAGTTGAAGGGTGTTCTTGGTTATGTAGTGGGTGACATGTTTGAGTTCCTGTCTCAAAAAAAAGAAGAAAAAGAAGTACTGAGTATATTGTCATTCCGAGTAAAATTGGATGCTGGGGAAAAAAATTAAATGGAACATGTTCATTTACTCAGTACAGGTTTACTGAATGTCACTACTGTGCCAGCCCTCATCTGCAATATCTATCTTCATGTAATCCTTCCTTCCAACCCTGACAATGCTGTCCCCAGCAGCCCCATCTGGTCACTTGTCATCAAGAGGTGGAAGCAACATCCCCCTGCTCAGCCTTCTCACCACACATGCTGAGTTTCCACATCCCCAAACTCCCACGAGTACATGCAAAGCACGTGACTTCCCATAATTAATTGCAATATGAGTTCATCTCATATCAAATGAGAAGACAGGGAGGAAGCACTCTGCTACTCTCTTTAAGAATGTCCTCGTGTTCAGCAGCTGTACTTTGAACTACATTTCCCAGCATTCCTTTTTCTCTACAGTTCAAGGCCCAGGTTAACTAGACACTTTTGGCCTATGATTTAGCAATAAAAGTAAAAAGTGGACATAGTTTTGATGCTGGCTGCTCACTGATCTGTTGTCCTGCCCACGTGCCCAGCCTCTCAGGTTCCTGTCAGATCTCCTCAGTGCCTTTGACCCTGGGCTGAGAGCCACTCCATGGCCCTCTCATATGGAGCAGCTGTGTGGGAATGGACACCACTGTTCCTGTGGGCCACCCACAGTGAGGAGCTAGAACCAATGAGAGTCAAGACAAGCTAAAAGTTTATCCTTGAAGGTCCCAACCATGCTTGTAGGTCTCAGGTCATCCCAAAGGTTCATTTTTTTTTTCTCTTTGCTTTTCTTCACTCCCTATGTTCTTTCCCCAACAAGTCTAGAAGGCCCTTAGTAAACTACCCCCAACAACAGATGTGGAGAAGCCTCATGGGCTGTCTCCACAGGCCCCCAAAGCAGGGCATCCAAACCTGCGGTAGGCCCCTCTCTCTCTCCCACAAATGAAGGCTGCCCGCAGCTCTGCCTTCCGAGGTCCCACCCCACTTGCAGCTGTAGAACAGGGCAACATGGTAACACCAACAAAGTCTGTATTTTCTCAAAATTCTTTGCAAGTCCCTGCTATGTGATCTAGCACCTCTCTTGAAAATGTCACTGCATGTGACAGTTACTATTTATTTCAGCATTTTGCACGGTTACAGAAATCCGGAGAAAGGAAGAATTCTGTTTACATGCTGCATGTGACAGTGAATAGGCTATAGGTTGCAGAGAACGATAAAATGTAACAATAGGTAGGTATATAGCCAGATGACAGACAGGTAATTAAATGTATGTGGATAGATGATCGATAGCACATACATACATAGATGATAGATACATAGACAGATAGATAGATAGATAGATAGATAGATAGATAGATAGATAGATAGATGACAGATAGATATGACTTTATTTAGATAGACTAATAAATGGCAGACATATAATCATAGACAACACATGGCAGATGGATTGGTTTATATATGCATACTTTCAAAATAAATGTAACAGGTCTCCATCATACTTCCTGACAGCTAAAACAATCAGGCGGTCAACTAAGTAGTGGGTAATAATGAGATCCTTGCAATTACAAACCTCTACAATGGGGGGGTAGTGCAGCCCTGCCAGGCCACAGAGGACGATGATGCAGCCAGTCCTGATGAGACCTGATAGGCTAGGGTCAGAGAGAAGGGGAGGACCTCCCTGATCAGGGGATTAGAGAAGGGAAGTGG